CCAAAGCCAGCAATGAGAAACCTGGAATCATATTCTTTTTTATATATACTTTTTTATTAATTTACTTTTCTACAGTTCCCCCTCCCTCCTCTCCTCCCCCTCCCCGATCCCTCCTCCTTCCATCTGTTCCACGGAGAGGGTGAGGCCTCCCCTAGGAAGTCTACTAAGTCTGTTCCATTATCTCGTTGAGGCATGAGGACCAAAGCACCTCTCCACCCCCCACACCTCCGTGTCTAGGCTGGGCAAGGCATCTCTCCATATAGAATGGGCTCCACTAAGTCAGTTTGTGCATTAGAGTTAGATCTTGGACCCACTGCCAGTGGCCTCATATATGGCCCCAGTCACACCACTGTCACCTATATTAAGGTAGTTTGGTCTTGTGCAGGTTCCCCATTTGTCAGACCTGAGTCAGTGATCTTTCACTATCTTGGGTCAGCTGACTCTGTGGGTTTCCCCATCATGGCCTTGACTCCTTTGTTAATACTATAGCTCCCCCCTCACTTCAATTGTACTCCAGGAGCTCGGCCCAGTGGTTAATTGTGGATTTCTGCATCTGCTTCCATCTGCTTCTGGAAGAGGGTTCAGGCTTCTCTGGGGCTGGATATCTTTGGCTTTATGTCTGGTATGCACTTTATGAGTGAGTACATGCTGCATTTGTCTTTCTGGAGAAACCTGGAATCATATTCGACTACCAGACTCCCGCTCTACAGTGCTAAGTTGTGCTTTGCCATCTTCACAGCAGGCTACGTTGGAAAACACACAGGGAACTTTCCGAAGATGCCCTGCAGCTGGGTTTGCTTTATGCTAGGGCAATTTTGCTGCCTGGCTGCTCTCTGCCGAAAGTACAGAGGGTGTGCTGAAATGTTGTCACTGCAAACAAAACCAGATCAGGCAGAAGCCCGCCTCTTGCACTGACAGATCCACCTTGCCTGTTGCTGGCAGTGGGAGTGTTTGACAGGCCCAGTGCTAGGCAGCAAAGGGTTTCAAAAATAACTTCTGAAAGCGGGGAATTCCTAACTCTGCAAAAGACATCAGAATCACCCAGCGCAGTACAGCTCATGGACAATTGAGGAAACTGAGGCCAGGTCAGGCTGGGTGACACAGATAATGAATGCAGCTTGACCTTGGCACCGAGGCTGATTTTTGTTCCCTTCCATTGTGTTCAAACTCATCGCTTCACCTTCATGTTTTTGTTTTGCCTTTGTGTACTCTGCAGGATGCTGTGTTATTCCCCAGACACAAGTAGCTCTATTCTCTTGCTGCACCTGGAACGGCCATCAGTCTCGTCAAGGGAAGGAACAGCTAGCAAGTTCACTAACTGGCCTGTTGTACTCATTTCTCTCCTCGAGGCTGACTATTTGTTTAATTAAGGCATTTTTTTCTTTGATCATAAACGCCATCCCATAAAATATCTGATGAATCTAGGACTTGAGAGATGGCTCAGCGGCTCAGCTCATATTTCTGTGGCAGAGGACTTGTCAGTTCCCAGGATCCTTGAAAAGTGGCCAACAAGCCCTGTAACTCCAGTCCCAAGGGAGCCAATATCCTGGGTCTCTGCAGACGGGCACCTGCACTCACATGCAGATATCCACACACAGACACCACATAATGAAAAGTAAAATAAGTATTCAGAAAGGCGATGGATCTCGACTGCGTCGTGAGGACCTAGCACAGGCGCGAAGTGCTTTCATCAGAACTTGCAGGTGGGGGAGCTGGCCTGGTGGGTGAAAACGCTTGCCACACAAGTGTGAGGGTCTGCGTCCAAGGCCCCAGAATCCACACTGGCGGCATCATGAGCCCCATAGCCCGGTGCTCCTGGAAACAGGAGAATCCCCTGGAAACAGCCAGCCTGCTGCATGCAGAGGAAGAACAGCAAAGAGACCCTGTCTCAAACAAAGTAGAACACAAGAACAGACACCCACGGTTGTCCCCTGATCTCTGCAAATGTGGCATGGCACGTGCACACCATGTGTGTACACACACCTACATGCATACCATACGTCGTGCATGGGCATGGATAAACTTGTGAGCACTATAGCAACTAATTGTCTTTGAGATATTTAAGGCTTGGATAGGGGCTGGATAAATGGCTTGGCTGCTCTTCCAGAGGACCCAGATTCAATTCTCAGCACCCACCTAGCAAACTCACAGCCATCTGTAGCTCTAGTCCCAGGGGGATCCAGTGCCCTCTTCTGACCTCCAGGGGATACTGCATGTATGCAGGGCACAGACACACATGTGGGCAAACACCCACACATGTTAAAAAAAAAAGATTTAAACAGACACATATTCATGGATCTAAAATTGTTCTCTGTGTATTAGTTCACGTGGCTGCCATCTGTATTGCCCCACGTTGGGCGCCATGTGTGGGAAGTTGAGGAACTGCCGTCAGAGCCAGCCCGGCAGCACACGGTTCGTACCTGAGAGGGGGAGTGTGGAGTACAGAAAGGGTTAGCTAAAGACAGCAAAGGAAAAAAGACAGAGACACAGAATAAAATCAGGAGGGCAGATTCTGCCCATACTGAACGCCGCAAAGAGCTTATTTTTCACCACTCTTATATACCTTAACCAAAAAGGGGAAGGAACATGGTGTCGTGTCTATGGGACAAACAAACAGACCTTTCTTCCTCGTTTCCCCAAGGACTCAGTAACCACACCTTAGACTCAACTTCTCGTTACCTGGCCCTGAGGGTCGGGAGCAACCACACCTCAGACCAGGTCTGCTTTTATTTAGAATAAGACAGCCAAGGCCAAGATGGAACATCCTTGACTTGCAGGTCTTACGACTCACTGAGGGCAGTGTTTGGCCTCTCTGCCCCTGATCCAAGATGGAGTGGAGCCGTCTTTACTGGCACCGAGAAGTTCACACATTTGTGAAAAAAACTGGGTGTGGAATTGTTTGTGAAAATCACAATCTTTTCGGTAAGGATTCCAACAGGCCACATGAAGCTATTTGTTTAAGACGTCTTTGTGTTCCTGTGACGTCTTTCCTCTTTGCAGCTCACAGAGCTTAATGAATACTAACGAAATACTTTCCCTCGATATGGGAAAGCTGAGGGGAGAAGCTGACAAATACCGCTATACCGCTCTCGGTACAGAAAGCCTGGAGTCTGCCTGGAAAAATCTGTGGTGCATCTGACTTGCATGCTGATGTGGGATCGGAGTGTGTTGTGCACAGTGTGGACATTGTTTGATGTGTATATGACTAGTCATTTGCTTCTGGGCATCTTCTCAGTTTAGAAAAAAAGAACCGAGAACAGCACAGTATACTGTTGAACTAAAAAAACAATAAACCACACTGCAAACAACATAGGCTGTCCTTTTCTGAGGCAATAAAATAAAATAAAATAAGACAGAAACCAAAAGGCCACTGCACTTTCTTCTTTCTGTTGCCGTGACAAACGCCACAGCCAAAAGCCACCTCTGGGACAAAGGGATGCCTTTGGCTTTGTTTCCAGGTCACAGTCAAGGCAGGGAAGTCAAGGCAGGAAGCCAAGCAGGAGCCTAAAGCAGAGACCACGGAGGAATGCTGCTTGCTGGCTCTCTCCATGGCTCTGGCCTGGCTAATTTCCTTATATATCCCAGGGCTACCTCCCCATACAATGGTGCAGCCCACAGTGGGCCAGGCCCTTCTATGACAATTATCATCGGAGAAAGTGTCTTAGAGACAAGTCCGCAGCACAGTCTGACCAGGGGAACTCCTCAGTCGAGTGTCTTCCGTCAGAGGGCTCCAGATGTACCAAGCTGATAATTCAAGTTGACCAGGACACCTGCCCAAACCTAAAACTAAACCAAATGTCTATCTTGCATCAGACCCAGTGTTGAATAGCTTCACACCGGCCCTGCAAGATGCCTTGGGAGCACAAAGGTCCTTGTACCCACAAGTTACCAGGGAAACCAGGAATGCTCAGCACACAGGGTTGTCTTTCCAAAGTAAAAGATGAAAACCTGTTTTTCCACCCAGAAGGCTGACAACTGGAGGTGATTAATAGCCCTGCGAGCTGTATTACCTGAAGGGTAAGGCCATACAAACTCCTACAACCAGGACTGGAGATACTGGATAGTCCAAATGACCCTTACATTGTCTGTGTATCCTGGGGCTCCCCCAAGCTCCCACAACTGGGACCAGAGGTGGCACCTCTATGCTATCTGTAACTAAGACCAGGCCAGACCCTTCCCTTAAGCTAATACATGTAGCCTATCTTTAAAACCCATCTTCTTGAAAAACAAAACAAAACAAAAAACAAAAAAAAACCATCTTCTTGGAAGAAATGACACGTAGGGAGTTCATTTTTTTCAATGTAATTATGCCTCCTTGTGCACTGGGAATTGTGTTACACCAGGAAACTTTTTTTAACTATGCCTACAGTAAAGCGCCTGGCACCAGGCTCCAGACATTCAATCGGCCTGGCTCACTAAGCCTGGCTGAAGCAAGTTTTCCCTCTTGCAGATAGCTTCCACGATGACGCTTGAAGGGTCCCACACTCCAAGATCATCCACAACAGCTTCACTTTTACAGGTCTGGAAGGCACCAGGTGCCAATGTGAAAACTCGAGACATACCGCAGCAAGTGGAGAATCGATTAAGGGAACTCGACGCTGTTGTGGCCAGATTCCGAAATCCCCCCAAATCACCAAGAGACGTGTTCCGATGCAAAAGCAAACAGTCTTTTATTGTTGTTTAACGAGCTAACTGCTTTACCACCCGGCCCTCCACGGATGGCTGGAGAAGGACCCGGAGAAACTGAGAGGTGGGTAACTTACTGGGCAGCGTAAGGGGCGTGTCTAGAGGTCTGCACGTCTCAGGATTGGTGCATTCTGGGCTCAGACGACCTGTCCTATGCTGATTGGTCAACTGGCTATTACAGCCCACAGGCTCTCCCAGGGCGGTTGCCACTTGTCCATAAAGCACATCCAGAGTCCCGCCAGCTAACTTCTGATTGGTTCCTTGTCACAAGGAGGGTATCTGACCTCCCAGTGACTAGGGCAGGCCTGGCAAGGTCAGACATGTGCTGAGTCAGAGGCCTACGAGTCTTTGATTTGTGGATCTTGGCTCCAAACCTTTAAATGCGAGTCTATGACCTGAAGTAACTTCAGAAGCCAGCAAGGTAGGAAGGGGTCATGGTGGGAGTGGGGGGGTGATGGGTGAGGAGGTGGGGGAGCTGTAAAGAGGGAGCCGGCAGGACACAGGCAGAAATGGGAAAGAAGAAAAAAAAAACAAGGAAGGACTTAAATTGGGGAGGGAGGGTGATGCAGAGGGGGAGGGAGAGAAGAGAAATAAATAACACTAAGGACATTTGAAATATTTGCTTTTTCAAGACAAGATTTCTCAGAGTAGCTCTGGCCGTCTTTGAAGTCACTCCGTAGACCAGGCTGGCCTCGAACTCCACCTGCTTCTTCATCCTGAGTGCTGGGATTAAAGGTGCACACCACCACCATTGCCTACCTAATATATTTTTTAGTGGAATTCTTCCCCATGGGCTGATAATGCTCCTCCCAAGAGACATAGACTATCTAACAAAAAAACAAAAACAAAAAAACAGTTAGTGCCAGGCATAGTAACCCTTCCATCAAGTTGTTGTGGGTGGGAGGGGATCTTAGTTACTGTCATATTGCTGTTAAGAGACACCATGACCAAGGCAACCCTTATAAAGTATTTAACTAGGGGCTTGCTTGCAGTCTTAGAGTGCAGGCCGTAACCATCGAGGGAAGCAGACAATTACGGCACTGGAACAGTAGCTGAGAGGTTTGTGTATCCCTATCTGCAGGCAGTAGGCAGAAAGAGAAAGACATTAAAACCTCAGAGCCCACCCCATGGACATGCTTCCTTCAACAAGGCACACCTGCTCTATCAAGGCCACACCTCCTAATCCTTCTCAAACAGTTCTACTCCCTGGTAATTAAGCATCTCTCTCTCTCTCTCTACATATGTATATGAATGATGGGGGAAGTCCTTCTGTATATATGTTGTCTTATTGGTTTATTAAATAAAGTGCTGTTGGCCAATAGGGAAGCAAGATAGGTGGGGCTAGGAGTCGAGGAGGATTCTGGGAAACAGAGGCACAGTCTCGATGGAGGACGCCAGAGGAGGAAGAGGTCTGCATCCTTTCTCAGGTAAGAGAAGACCACGTAGAAATACTCAGATTAGCAGTTATGGGTTAATAATTAAGTCAGAGCTACCTGATAAGAAACCAAGCAACGGCCAACAGCTTCATAATTAGTATAGTGTCTCGTATGCTATTTGGGGGCTGAGACAGCTGTGGGACCCAGGCGGCTGGTGGGGAGACTACATGTTACATGTGGTGTTAGGAGTGAGATCGTGAATTTCCATGTAGAATGACAAAAGCTTAAAGGGGATTTTAGGAACAAAAGAACAGAGAGAAGCACGGCTTCTTGGTAGCAGCATTTTTCTCAGGTGGGCTCTGTTTTGCTGGAGACGATCTGAGTCACGTGGCTCCCTTAAGGGAGTCTTCCTGACTCAGTATAAGCGACAAAAACAAAAACAAAACAAAGAGGTCCTGCCGACAATGAATGGTGTGCACAAGCAGCTGGCAGCGGCAGTGACCACATCTCCAAGCCGGCATAGGCTAAGGCAGTGAGCACAGCTCCCAATGCTGGCGGCAAACTTACACCCACCTGCCTGCCATGTTGGGAAGCCAGCGGCTGTTTCCGCTTTAACTTCAGCAATGCTGTTTAGCAGATAACAGACAGGTGGCCAGAAAAACAAAGATTTCCAGCAAAGTCAGATTCAGAGGAAGCAAAGCCTCTAAAAGGTTTACAGTGTGTTTAAAAATATACGTAGGCTGGAGAGAGAAAAATAAACAGGATCATGGTAAAAGAGATAGAGAAGCTGGGCATTGGTGGCGCACGCCTTTAACCCTAGCACTCCAGACGCAGAAGCAGAGGCAGGCGGATTTCTGCAGAGAACCCTGTCTCAGAGAAAAAATAAAAAATAAAAGTAAAAGAAATAGAGTAATAAAAAAGCCACAAAAAGATGGAAAGTACACAGGACTTTCCCCATCATATGTATATGTGTATATATATATATATATACATATATGCCTATGATATATATATATGCCTATGATATATATTATATATGCCTATAATATATATGCCTATGATATGTATTATATATGCCTATGATATATATATATATATATATATATATATATATATATATATGAGCCTATGTGGGCCACCCTCATCCAAACCACACCACAGGGCCTTAAGAAGCTTCCAAGACAACTTACGCTATAGCCACTGCCCTCCATTGCTGCTACTCGAAGGTAAAACCCTGTTGCTGAATACATAATCCATGCACTTTAGGCCAATGAAGGGATTTAAAAAGAAAAAAAAAAGGTGAAACGGCCTGCCAAGGTCTGTCACTTGTCACTAAGCAAGCATGCCTTGTGCAACAGAGTTAGTGCAAAAGGAACATCGAGGGAGGGGGAGAGTGGGGGCACGAAAGAGACAGGACGGGCATACAGACAGATGGACAGACAGAACAGGCAAGAGACAAGAAGAGGAGGAGCAACAGAAGCAAGGAGTGAGCTGTGCTTGGCGGGCCCCTCTAAGGGACGCGCACGTCGCATAGCTGACGGTAGAAAGGCACCTGGCGGCAGGTGTTGGCGAAGCTGCTTCCGCCCCAGAGACCGGCCACTGCGTGGCAGGAGCTAACACGCAGGACTAGGAAGAATCAAGCAGGAGCTGATCTAGGCACCACCCCCTCCCCGAGAGCTGGCACTCGTAGTATCAGAACATGTTATACAAACTGCCAAGGGAGAAAAGCGAGCTCTAGTCTCACCTGGCTACGAAGCCTGTGGCCCACGGCAGTGATTGGCTGAACAGAATACCTCCAGCGGCGTAGGAGTGGCACTGACGTCTTGGAGTAACCAACAGCTGTCTAACCAGCCTTCAAGCCTGCTCAGCACGGGGGAATCCGTGCCCAGTACAGTAGCCTGAGCGGATGGAGTAAACCATCCGTGGATGGGGACATTATAGATCCTAGGGGAGAAGCTGCTGCTGCTGCTGCCACTTTTCCTATACCAGTATAATATTTAACTTTATCCTAGAGTAATCATCCTTAAGCTCGCAGGTGAAGTGCAGCCCTCACCCCTCGTGAAAGAAGCGTCTTTGGCAACAGATGGGGACTGTTACAGAGAGCCACTGCTGGTCAGAATGCAGAGAGCAAGGGGCCATAGGGTGCTCAGCCCCAGCTGGTACATCGACAACGCAATCCCTACACCTAAGGCTCAGGGAAAGTTGGGAGAGAGGGACCTGAAACATTTTGAGAACCAGAGAGGATCGACCTGCTTCAAGACGGCATCTTCAAGTCACGATAGACAGGCTGCACCCGTGAGAGCTCAACAGCGTGGTTGGGAAACAAAACCTGCAGGACCACAGTTGACGCATCTACCTGGATGGGGGAGAAATCTACAAAGACCCGCCCACAGATCAACAGCTGTAGGCAATCCAGGGCTCCTGAGAGAGGGGGAATACTTTCCTCCAGGGAAAAGCCCTCGGGTTATCCAGTCTTAAATGGTCAGTCCTAAACATGTGTACATGCAAGAAACAGTAAATGGAATCATGGTAGGAGCACACACACACACACACACACGAGAGAGAGAGAGAGAGAGAGAGAGAGAGACAGAGACAGAGACAGAGACAGAGACAGAATCATGAATTTGAAAGAGGGCACACAGGAAGAGTTGGAGTGGAGAGGGAGGGGTGGAAATGATATAAATACAGAATTTACATATATGAAATTCTTAAAATACACACACTAAGAAACAATAACAGAGAAACATTCAAACATCGTATAAAGTTGCCATCAGGCTGTGTGTGTGCAGACATATATAAAACATAAGTAAACTTCATGTTTAGATTTGGGGCCCAACCCCAAGATTTTATCTGTGCAGCTACTGAAAGTCCCAGACCCCAAAATATGCTTCTGGTTCTAACTGTTTCTGAAGAGGTCTGAACTTCCTACCCTCTCTTCCTCTATTCCTAGCCTCCCTTCTGTCTCAAAGCCTGGATTTCTTCAAGGAAGTGGTAACAAGCAAGGAGACTTTGGCGAAATGAAGCCAAAGGCTTGGGGAACTAATAGACACTGACGGAAGTTGACTCCAAAGTTGGGAAGGGCCGCACTTTGCACTCCTCCTCGGGATTTTATCTTGGTCTCTCTGGTATAGGTGTCTCTGGTATAGGATTTTATCTTGGTCTCTGGTATAGGATTTTATCTTGGTCTCTCTGGTATAGGATTTTATCTTGGTCTCTCTGGTATAGGATTTTATCTTGGTCTCTCTGGTATAGGATTTTATTTTGGTCTCTCTGGTATAGGATTTTATCTTGGTCTCTCTGGTATAGGATTTTATCTTACTCTTTCTGGTATAGGTCTCTCTGGTATAGGATTTTATCTTGGTCTCTCTGGTAAAGGATTTTATCTTGGTCTCTCTGGTACAGGTCCAACGTTGAGCACCTGGCTAAGGAAAGGAGAGAGTGCAGTCAGCTGCAAAGGGGCAGGATTGTGGGCCAGCGGCACTGACTTGGAATCTTGGGGAGTGCCCGAGGCTCGGGAGCCATGCTCCTTCCCTCACTAAGTCCTCAGGATGGTGGAGGCGGGAGTCTGTACGTGGCAGATTTGGTCTATGTAATTCCTACGATTTCTCTCCCAGTCCACACACCCCTTGGCAGCCTTTTCTCTTGTCTTACCGCTTTGGAGTGGATTGAACTGTCTTCCTTCCTAACGCGCATCTGCTGAGACCTTCCGACTGGGACCTCATTTGAAAACTTATCTCCAAATCTTTACAGGGTAAGGATTTACCTTCGGTTCAGGATGGACCCTACATTTAGCAAGAATTGCTTCAGTTGACACCCCAGAGACACCTGAAGAAGAAAAGTCCCTGTGAAGACAAAGAAGGCACTGATGGAGTGTTGGGTAAAGCCTTTTCCTTGCCAGCCGCTTTGGTTTTTCCCCCGCCAGCCTCTTGGGCTCTTCCACAGTTGCAGACCTCAAATAAACACACAAGACACTGTATTAATTATGAAGCTGTTGGCCTTGCTTGTTTCTTACTGGCTATCTCTGACTTAAGTATTTACTCCATAATTGTTAATCTAAGTATTTCTCTTACCCAAGAAAAGGGTCCGGACTTCTTACCCCTATGGCGGCTACATCGTGACTCCCTGTGTTTCTCCTTCCCAGAGTCCTCCTGGACTCCTAGTCCCACCTATCTTACTTCCCTGTTGGCCAACAGTGCTTTATTCAACAACCAATAAGAGACAGATTTCAGAATGGCGTCTCCCATCAGTGGAGTCAGAAGCCACCCAAACCAGGAGCCACCAGAAGACGGAGGCAGTGATGAGAAATGATTCCCCCGAGGCTTCAGAAGGGTCATGATCCTCCCAGACCTTGTTTATGATGCCAAGAGGTAATTTTCTAGGAAGACGTCATGCATCTTCACATACAATCCCTTTCCATGTTGGCATCAAATCGTGACCTCACAGAACTTCCTGGGATTTCTCAGTGATGGGGCTTAAGGGTTCCCCATCACGCCGCTCTTAAAACAGCCTTTACCGGGGCTGTCATAACTATCCGTAACGCTGTAATTTTGTGTTGGAAGCATTCCCTCCCATGTCTAATCTATATTTAAAAACTCTCTCTCTGGCATCTGCCGTGGGGTCGTCTTGCGGCCTTAAAGCCACCTGGCAATAACGTGAAATCTCATCAACATGGCTGCCACAGCAGAACCTGAGCAAGGGCAACGCCAGCAGACATGCTGACCTGGGAAGGGGAAGTCTCATGGGGCCCCAGCCCTAGACAGAGAGTTTCAGGCAACTGAAGAAAGCTGAGTGGCAGAGCACAGTTGTCACCAAGAGCAGCTCCCCAGCTGGTTTATCTAATATCAAGTGCTCAGCCCTGAAACCACAGAAACAACATTATATGGGCTAAGCAGAATGCATTTATGTATTTAGGAGCGCATGCACACACACACACACACACACACACACACACACACACGCGCATACGCGCACACACACACATACACACACGTGCATGCATGCACACACGTTATATACATTCATATTCACAATAATTTAAGAGAAAGAGGTCAGGGGCCATGGATTTGGGAAGGGGCTGAAGGCAGGAAAAGGAAAAATGATGTAATCTTATTTCAGTTTCAGAGGACAAAGTAAGTATAGCTTTTGCGACTTGGCAGCAGACAAAGTGGGTCACGTTCCTTTCTGCTTCCATCCTTCAGCATCTATCTGGGGTCCCCAGGCAAGCATCTCCAAGACTGGCTTGTGATTGTATCTTCTCTTAAGTGCTCCAGGATTTCCCAGGGCCCTTCCTACCATCATCGCCCTGTGAAGTGGTCCAACGTGTGAAAAGTCATTATGGGTGAGAGCCTGTGGGTTTGCCCAGGCCCTTTCCTAGTGAAACAACCTCGCCCCGACAGCTCCTTTGCGGGGGGAGGGGAGGGCGCCAAGGGGTGGGGGAAGATGACAGTCAGACACAGAACTTTGCACGACGCTCCATCTGGAATTACAGCAGCAGTCGAGGCCACACGGAAATGGAATCTATCTGGCAGAGGAAACTCACCTTCATTCTTTAATTAGTCTTGGCACCAATTCTTAGCTTCCTCCAGGGAAAGACTTAGCTCTCTAAAAAAAAAACTGTTAAAATTCTAGAGAGAAATGTACCATCCCTCCACGCACCTGTAACTTCATTCTGTATTAAAAGCCTGCAAAGTCCTTCGAGGGTAGGAAGGAAAACTGCCTTTGTTCTCTGTTTTATTATTTCTAGTCTATTGCTTTGGGCCTGGGGATTATACGTAAGATTATAGTCTAGATAAGAGGACAGGGGTAGAAAATTATCTGTATCAGGAATGTCTCTAGATTCCAGGAGCAAAACTTCTGGAGTGATAAGCAGACTAAGCAGTAATTGATCAATGAGGTAAGTATATGTCCAAGGAGACGGACAGAACGTAATTTTGTAGTATGGGAGGGCAGAGAAGAACTTGGCTACAGAAAGAAAAAGATAAAACAAAACATAAACAAAAACAAAAGACCCTGGGCTGTTGTTCAAGTGGCATTGGTCTACAGCAAGCACTGATTCTACTTGAGACCTTGTTGGCAAAATCTGGAGGTGGGACCCAGCAATCTGTAGCCAGCCCTGGAGGTGATACTCATTCATTCTTAGAGTTGAAGAACCATGGGGTAGGTCTGGCGGTGGTGGTGCCTTTAATCCCAGCACTCAGGAGGCAGAGGCACGTGGATCTCTGTGGGTTCAAGACAAACCTGGTCTTCAGAGTGAGTTCCAGGACAGAGAAAACTCTGTCTTGAGGAAGGAAGGAAGGAAGGAAGGAAGGAAGGAAGGAAGGAAGGAAGGAAGGAAGGAAGGAAAAGGACCACGGGGTTAAAGCATTCTCTTCAGTAGAATGACCTGGATTGAAGATTCTTGGGATGGGAGTGTGCTGGGAAAGTATAATCCCGTGTCAGCTCGTGCTTCACAGGACCAATTCCCACACATGTCTCCTGGCCAGGACTTAAAGAAAGTCTGGGAACTGAAGCCCATTTGGCCCCCAAGGGCTCCTTCAGAATTCAATGGAGGGCTTCAGAGCTGAGCTGCTAAACACTGTGGCCAGATTAATTAGTCGTTGGCAATTTCCTGGAAGACCTGGAAGGGCTGAGTTAGAAACTAACAGCCAATTATCTCAGTGAAGCAGGGAGCTAGGGGACCAACATCACTGCTAAGTCCCACTAAAGCCCTTCCTCTCCCAGAGGGGCCAGAGGCAGGCTCGTCTCTCCGCGCCAGTCTGAAAAAGCATCCCTTAACTGCTGGGAACAGAGCTCAAGAGTTCCCTTCCAGCAAGGAGCTGAGGGAAAAAAATAAAATAAATGCCAGAGCTCGTCTAAAGCCCAGAGAGCTCTTGTCCCCCAGGCTATATAGGCTTCCTATGTGGTTCTGGCTTCCTTCCTGTGTCCCTTCCTTCCTCCGAAGTGGCCAGGGGGCTTGGCTGCCACGGCCCATTCGGTGACAGCTGACCACCACTAGTCCTAGATTCTGGAGTCTTGCAGAGACTTGAGTGATGCTGCAATGGTAAACAGCACAGTTACTGAAAGTAAAATAAGTATTTATTGTAGAAATTACTCACAAGAGACCAAACAAGTAACCCACATGAGCCGTGTAGTTTTCCGCCGCCGAACTGGAAGCCGAAAACCGGAAAAATAGAACTAGACTTCCGCTGTTTAGTCTTTTATACCTTCCTCCATAATGCCCCTAGCTGTGCCCAAAAGTGGGCCTGGCTAGTGACGTAGTTCACTGCCTACGTCTGTATATGTCTTTAGTCATGTCTAAAGTGGGTGTGGTTAGTGGTGTGGTAAACCGCTCTTTTATTACCTCATCTGTGTGTGCCTCTACCAAGTCACATGGTTAATGGCAGCATTGTTTTCCTCCTATAGATCCCCTTTTAGTCTAAAAAGGATATTTAAACTTAAAACAACTAACTTGTATCAATGAAAAAATGTATCAAACATCTATCCCATCTAAACCTAAACTTATCTGAAAGAAACACCCAAGTCTGAACACCTCCTTCCAATCCCAACTCTAAAATAATTGAAAACTAACACTAACAGGTGTAAACTATCCTATACTATCAATAGTAGGGAGAGATGGTGTGGAATTCTCAAAACTACTTCCTGCTGAGATGGGACGATGACATTGTCATGGGGACCTGTGAGAAGAAAAATGTTAGTGTAACAAAATCTTCAGTAGATCACACAGTCTCTGTTTGGCAGGAGAGGCTTGATTGAAGTTCCTGACTGGAGTTCTAGTGTTGATTGAAGCTCTCGTCTGAAGCTCTGGCCAGATTGTAGAAGATGTGCTGTTTCAGTTCCTTGGTCTGGAGTTGTGTAGAGTGATGTAGTTTCAAGCCAGTTTCAGGATAGTGCTTGTCAGGTGGAGTCGATGATGTGGGGCAGTTCAGATGCCTCCAGTCGAATCAGGTGGAATCAAGGAAGTGGATCCTCATTCTCTTTCTGAAGCAGTTGAAGATTGCTGTCAGGAAATCCCTTATTCTCTGGAAAACTCAAACATTAATGTAAATAAAGAAATATTTTAACTTTTGTATGTATGCATACTGGAAGAGGTGACAATAGGGAAGATGATAAACATGAAGGAAATTAGACTTTTCAGAAAAAGAAATCCACAGATAACAGTCCCTAATTTTATTTTCTTCTGTCTTATATCAATGGCTCTTTGTTATAAAACAGAAATTCTGAATCTTATTTAAATAATATTCTTGAATTTAGAGTAGGAGAGCCAATCCAACTCCAAAGCCAGCTTCAGTTAAATGAATGGGGACTGAAGTATATGAAGAAACAAAGATAAAAGGATACTGTAAAAAACAATATAGAGAGATTTAGACTTTGATACCACACAGTGAGTTACTGTTTGTTTGATGGTCCTCAGGGTGTCTATTCATTCTTCTTCAGGAATCTATATGTCCAGGATTCTTTGCTGAGTTTACCTGTGAAGACAAAAAACAAAACATTTCTCTTTCCTTTTAGGAGGTCACTTTACCCATGGTAGAATATGATTTTGTAGATGAGTTATTATCTTCCTCCTCCTGAGATGTCTTCTGTTCTGATCAAATCTTAATTAATTTTGATGGAACCCAAAGTTTTTCTTACCCTGTGGAAACAAAAGCAAACCCCCTTCCCCAACGTATCACATATCCTGGATTCCAGACTGAGGTCATAACATCCTTAAAATACACCGGTTGGTTCAGTTCAGAAGTCTTCTCTGTAGTCCAGTGTCTTTCTGCTGCAGTTTGTCCTTTTTCATCAGCATTAAGAAAATTCAATGTTAGTAAAGCATTGTGTATCCTGTGTTTGGGGGTCTTTGTTACCCCTGGCTTTTTATGAAGCATCTCTTTTAAGATTCAGTTAGATCTTTCAATCACTGCTTGTCCTATGGGGATTGTAAGGTATACCAGTTACATGTTTTATATTATAATATTTGAAAAATTGTTCCAATTTGCTGGAGACATATGCTGGAGCATTGTCAGTTTTTATTGTTTTAGGTATACCCATAACAGCCATCACCTCTAAGAGGTGTGTAATAACAGAATCAGCTTTTTCAGAGCTGAGGGCAGTAGCCCATTGGAAGCCTGAGAACGTGTCTATGGTATGGTGTACATATTTCAAACTGCCAAATTCTGGGAAGTGAAATACATCCATTTGGAAAAGTTCATTTCTGTGAATACCTTTAGGATTACAACCTGCTGGTAATGGAGTTTGATTGTAGAATGAGCAACTGGGGCAATTTCCTACTATTTCTTTGGCTTGTTGCCAGGTGATAGAAAAATGAAATTCTGAAGCTTCCAATACATTACCTATTAATAAACAATCAATTTCATCATTGCCTTGTGCCAGAGGACCTGGAAGACCTGTATGGGATCTGATGTGTGTTTTATATATATAGGATGAATCCTGTTTCTGATGGTTTCCTGTAATTGTAAAAATAATGAGGTTAATTCTGTACTACCAGGAACAAATTCTGCAGTCTCAATGTGCAGGACAACTCTTTCTGCATACTGAGAATCCGTGACTATATTGAGAGGCTCTGTAAAGTCTTTAAGTACCATGAGAATGGCATATAACTCTGCCTTTGGTACAGAATTGTAAGGGCTTTGAACTACTTTACTTATATTCCCTGATCTATACCCTGCCTTACCTGATTTGTTTGCATCCGTGTAGAAGGTCAGAACTCCAGAAATAGGTGTTTGCCTCACGATACGCAGAAGAATCCAAATTGTTTTCTTTATGAATTTGATTCTCTCTGTTTTGGGATAGTTATTACTAATACTTCCCAAAAAGTCACTGCAAGCTATTTGTCAATACTCATTATCCTTCCATAAAGAAGAAATTTCCTCATTAGTTAAAGGTACAATAATTTCAGATGGGTCTTTCCCAGTCAGTTGACGAAGCCTTAACTTTCCTTTTAATATCAAATCAGAGATCTTTTCTATATATGTTTTCAATTTTTTATTCTGTTTATGTGGCAGAAATACCCATTCTAGTATGATGTCTTCCCTCTGCATTAAAATTCCTGAGGGGTATTCTCTAGATGGTAAAATAACCAGAATACAGTCCAGCTTTGGATCTACATGGTCCACATGTGCTTCTAATATTCTCTTTTCTACCAATTCTAATTCTTTTTCAGCCTCAACTGATAGTACTCATGGGCTGTTTAGGTCTTTATCTCCTTTTAAAGCCATTTTCAGGTGTTTTAAATCATGCCCTTCTACACCAATAATTATCTGTAATTGAGAGATTTCTCCTAATAGTTTTTGAAGATCATTAAGAGTCCAGTAACAATCTCTTCTGATCTGTACTTTCTGCAGTATAATTTTCTGAGAGTCTATTTTATAACCTAAATAGTTAATAGAATCTCCTCTTTGTATTTTTTTTTCTGGGGCAATTTGTAATCCTCAGTGAGGCAAAGTTTCCTTTACTGCTTCAAACATCTTTTCCAAAGTATCCTTATTTGAATCAGATAGTAATATGTCATCCATATAATGACATATTAACGAATGTGGAAATTTTTTACAAATTATTTCTAGAGGTTTATGCACAAAATATTGACACAATGTTGGGCTATTTAACATACCTTGAGGTAGTACTTTCCACTGGAATCTCTGTACCAGTCGGTAATTATTATAGGTAGCTACTGTGAAGGCAAACATTTCTCTGTCGTTTTCTTGTAACGGTATG